TCATACCTGTTTGCGTCATGGTCGTCGGAAAGGAGGAGCTTGACTTTCTCAACACACTCGATGGCACCCCTAACATTACTATGGGATAAGCGGTGTTCTTCTTGGGATGACGCACCACCTGCCTCTTCACTGACGTCATCATCATCTACCATCTCGTCGGTAGTTACATCAGGATCCCTTATCACCTCCAGGATGTCGTCGTTGGTGGTCTCGGAGAAGCCTGCAGCTGTAACACTCTGCGCAGCTTCTCTGGCAAGGTCCACTGCTACTGCAACAGTCTGAACCTCACCAGTCACAGATTGACTCTGCCTTACGCCCGGAATGCCTTGCAGCACATGTCTCCATGCATGACGAACAGTTGCTACAGACAGCTGATCCCATGCCTCCACCAAGAAGTCCACAGCTTTCTTGATGTTGAATATTCTCTAGAATTGTTTGAAAAGTATTTTTTGCTCTGCCAACTGTTGATCCTCGTCGTCTTCACTCTTGCTATCGGTGGTGGTGTCACTCAGGTTACGCAACTCTTCCCTGGTGTTGGTGTAGTCGTTCAGGAGCTTGAATTTTTTTGTTGAGAATGCAGCTTTTACATTACAGATTAACTCTTGGTCCATCGGCTGTAATATAGATGTAGTGTTTGGAGGAAAGAAGACCACTTTTACGTTGGGGTGACGATCTAACAGTAGGGGCGAGTGTCCTGGTGTGTTGTCCAACAGCAACAAAATCTTGAATGGCACATTCTGTTGCTCACAGAATTTCTTTACATCTGGAACGAAACAGTCATCAAACCAGGAGAGGGACAGTGTAGAGAACATCCACGCCTTACGTGCGGTCAGCCAGTGGACATTTAGCTTGGTCATGTCCATGCTCTTGTAGGCGTGCAGCTTGCGGGCTGTGTGGATCACCGATAACTTGAGCTTACTGGTACCGGAGGCATTGGTGGTAAATAGGACGGTGATGCGCTCCTTCTGCATCTTCCAGCCCCGAATCTTGCTGGCATTCTTCACAATGAAGGTCTTGGAAGGTAGCTTTTTCCAAAAAAGACCAGATTCGTCCATGTTAAACACCTGGTCGTCGGTGTACTGTCCTTCCTCCATAATCTCACGTAAAAACGGAGGAAATTTCCTAGCCCCAGCACGGTCAGCACTAACTTCTTCACCACCAATGTTTATATTGGTGATCTTGTTCCGCATCTTAAACCTCTGTAACCACCCAGAGGAAGCATTAAAGGGTTTGGGCTCTGTAATTCCCATCTTTCGTGACACTGCAGCATACAGTTCACGTGCGTACTCCTTAACAGAGCGCGTGTCGACCGCCATGTTCCGTCGCGCCTGACGCACCAAGTAGCTCACAATTAATTTTTCCGTCTTGAGAAGCACCTGGTTGTGGAAATACTTGATCATAGAAGCACCTGTAGACTTTGTGATCTTCATGTGCTCCTTTATCTTGGCTGCATCCTTCTTTATCGTCCGGATCGTAGATTCGTTCACACCATGCTGGCGCGCCAAATCAACCTGTCTTGTTCCTTTCTCTAACTCTTGGATGATCTTGTACTTCACTTTGTAGCTTAAGGAACGTCGTGTCTTCTTGGGCTTAGGGCGGCTGGGTCCAGGCAAGGAAAGGTTTCTCTCTGGGGGGCGGTGGTCCGGCGGAAGCCATTTTACAGAACAATGAATGCACGATTACACGGTGTGGCCTGGAGGGATGAAACTGCCGCGGCTAGGTCAAGCGTCGTCTTTCCTCCCTCCCCCAGGTGGACACGTCATATTACTTTAAACCAATTACAGCTAGCAGCGGAGGGAGGTACGGATGCATGGCCAATCACAGTCCGATACGTCATATGACGTCAGTGATAACGCAACAGAGACATGCACTGCGCAACCTTACCGCGCGGCTTGCCCAGGCGGAGGAGGGAGGAGGCGGGAGGGGCGAATCTAAAAAAAACGTCGAGCCAGACACTCTCCGCGTAAAGGGGTACACGCACCGCAGAATGTGAGCATCCTGGGTTCCGGCAGGGTACCACGTAAACGTGGAAACGTGGAATGTGGGACCGCGTAAAGTGAGGGTTGACTGTATATATACTGTATATATATACAGTATATATATACAGTATATATATACAGTATTATATATATATATATATATATATATATATATATATATATATATATATATATATATATATATATATATATATATATATACAGTACTCCCTCTTTATCGACGGGGGTTACGTTCTGTAAACGGCCGTCGATAAAGAAACCGTCGATACCGTGATGGTTACGTAATTTTTCTAACTATTATTAGCATATGTTGAATAAATGTACCTTTAAGCATTAATGCGTTTCCTTTACGCATAACCTTAAATAATAGTGTATAAATAATAATATAATAAGTGGACAAAAATACTAGCAAACTTACGATTTCATTTATTGAAGTGAACATCGGTCCTTACAGTAAACAAAAATCGAGTAACATCTCAAGAACATCGGAAGCTTAGGTAAAGTCTTTTGTTTCCGTCTGTATTTTATCTATTTTACATTGAAATACATCACGTTTCAGCAAAACTACTATTTATTTCGAGGAATATATTCATTCAGGCGCAGTTTAGGTAAAATATCGTGTGATGTAATAATTTTTTAACTGAAAGCGATTAAAAAAACCGTAGCCTGTAGCCCTGTTCAAGGAGAGGACTGGGAGAAGCTGTTTGGTGCCAAAATAAAAATCCGGCTAAATAATCCGTCGATAATCGAAACCGTGGATAAAAATCCGTCGTGAAATCGGGGTCTAGAGTGTATGTATATATATATATATATATATATATATATATATATACTCTGACCTGCCGTCGGGACTTCCGACCGCCTCAGATATAGATAAAAAAAAAAAAAAATTTTAAATGACACCGCATTTTCTATACGGAAACGTTTCCAGTTAATGTAGTCTCCTGATATTAGAAATTATGGGGCCCCATGTGCATTCAGCTGACTACATTAAGGTTAACTGCTCAGTGACACTGTATCCATTCCTTATTATTTATTACTTTCACTGTACTGTATCCATTCATCATTATTCATTACTTTTACTGTACTGTATTTCATTGTAGATTTTTTTTTTTATCTACAGTTTACCCTATAACTTTCGGTCAATTGAACCCAGAGGGTCGCGTTAAGTGAATAACAAAACATATGGGATTAATTCAATAGAACCAGCCCGACCCCCAAACTCCACTTTTTGTGACAAATAACTATGTTGTAGTAAAAATAACATCTTAATTTTATGATGGTACATGCACACAATTAATACTTAAGAGAAATAAATACAGTCGCCAAGTTAATGTCCATTCAAATAATGGACTCAACCCTCCCTCTTCTCACACTACACTCACTGGCTCTTCCTCTGAGAAAGGGGAAAACCAGGTATAGTAATAAATAATTCCTCAAACTAAAGTTAGGATAATATAATTGACATTGCTGGATTCCTTGTAAGACCAGGAATATTTTGAATATAAATGTCATATTTTTTCACAAAAATAACATATTTACTCAGAATAAACTTTACATCTAAAATTTGTATGTCTAATGCAAAATCTATGATGTTTATATTCAAAATGATCAGCAAATTGTAAGAATTCCAGCAATGTAAATTATATTCTGGCGGATAATTTGTATGAATTTTATGAGCTAAAACAAATATCTTCAGTTAATAAAAAAAAAAATATTCTTCAAACTATCTGTCAATCAAAGTACCCCACCTTGCCTTCCCCCTCTTCCAACCGCGTGGTCAGTCCCAACCCTCACCCCCACCCACAATCCTCCATTCAAGAGTTTTTAACATTTAGTATTAAATAATACTTCAGATTAAAGTTAGGATGGATAATATAATTGACATTGCTGGATTCCTGTAAGACCAGGAATATTTTGAATATAAATGTCATATATTTTGGACAAAAGATAACATAATTACCTTGAGAACAATTTTTATCTAAAAATTGTATGTTTAATCACAAAATATATGTTGTTTATATTCAAAATGATCCCAGAATATAAGAATTCAAGCAATGTATATTATATTCTGACGGAGTAATTTGTATGAATTTTTATGAGCTAAAACAAATATCTTCAGTTAATAAAAAAAATAATTCTTCACTGGGTAACAGATGGTCGGTCGGTCCCTCCCTCCCCCCACCCCCACCCCCACCAACGTCCCAAGGAGATGTGTGGGATAACCACTAAATTTAATAAATAATACCTCAAACTAAAGTTAGGATAATATAATTGACATTGCTGGATTCCTGTAAGACCAGGAATATTTTGAATATAAATGTCATATATTTTGGACAAAAGATAACATAATTACCTAGAGAACAATTTTTATCTAAAAATTGTATGTTTAATACAAAATATATGTTGTTTTATATTCAAAATGATCACAAATTATAAATTTCAGCAATGTAAATTATATTCTGGCTGGGTAATTTGTATGAATTTTATGAGCTAAAACAGGCAGTCAGGCAGGGTGGCGGGGGGGGTGGTCTGAAATCAAAAATAGCTCTGAGCGGACACTCACGCGTATATGATGAAAATGCGCGTTAAGTGAAAGTTCAGCTTTGGCAAGGCACCGTGTATATCAAAGCAACGTTAAGTGAAAGCGTTAAGCGGGTAATACTGTATATAGGACTTCGACCTGGATTTGGTCCCTAACTAAATGAGATGAGAGTCTGGAAATTATTATATATATATATATATATATATATATATATATATATATATATATATATATATATATATATATATATATATATATATATATATATATATATATATATATATATATATATATATATATATATATATATATATATATATATATATATATATATATATATATATATATATACATTATATATATATATATATATATATATATATATATATATATATATATATATATATATATATATATATATATATATATATTTCATGTCTTAACACAAATTTCAGGTGGATGAAGATGTATCGGATGATGGGCTGGAATTCTGTTTTGAGTGTAGTAACACTGGAGCCACTGATCGTCACACTGCAGAGTTTCACACAAAGTATGTAGGGCCCGACTATTCATTTTTGCTGCGTGACCTTATGGCTGGAGAGTCGTACCTGCTTAGAGTGGCATCAAGACGGGAAGGCTCCAAGACCTTTGGACCTTGGAGCCTGGTACAGTCTTCTGTAACAAACATCCCACATTTCAGTAAGTTCATATGTTTATTATAACCATTTCATTAAAAAGACCAATCTTGCTGGTGTATTTTGAGATACTGTATGTAGGATTTACATTTAGAAATATTTGAGTAAATTATATTCTTCTGACTGTCGAATTTAAACCACTGTATTATTTGCTCATAAGGAACATGAATGTCAGGTTGTTGGGTTGTCCACTGAGTATCAGGTGAGAGAGAATGTTTTCAGAGAACATTCACAATCCTGTGATATACCTTCATGGGTGATTAAGGTCAGATGTTCTACTGCTTGAAATGAGAAATATAGTAGGTATATAATTTTCATTGTAATAAATAAAACATTGGCCTCTTTCCTTCCCAAGTTCTTACATACATATACTGTACAGTACTGTACAGTTCAGGTAATTTGATAGATACTTCAAACGCAGTTTTTGCCCATGATTAGTATCAGTTTAATGGTTACATCATTTATCAATTTAGTCTTTGTCTTCTCAGTTTTAAATATTAACTTTCTGCATCACAGATTTGAGTTCTTAATATTTATCTGTTGATGATCATTGAATATTTCTTTCATAAAAAAATTGTGTTCTTCAATCTTATAGCTAGCCATATATTTTTTTATATACAGTGGTCCCTCGGTTAACGAGTTGCCTTCCATAAGATTCTTAACTACGAGCCAACCTGAACATGAATTCGCTTGCATTTGGCAGTCCACCAGCTGTAGTATTAGTCCGCCAATACAGTAATCGGTTCTAGGGCTTAAATTCCTTACCATTTTAGCAAATATCATGAAGTTTATACTATTCAATAATTTTAAAAGTTTAATATTAAATTTTTTAGTCTTTTTAACAATTATTGAACATAATTGAAGGTAATGAAACTAGTTTTATGCGTGCCATCCAGCCTGTCAACACACCATACAGGCGTCAGTCTTTGTATCTTTTCAGTGGAGGTAACATCTTGCTTGAGACTCTCTTCAACTAAATGCCTTTTTTCTGTTTTTGCAAGCAAGTTATTGGTCATTTTGGAATTTATTTTACATATTGACAATATATAATGCAGTGCAGTGTTGATTTAAAGAAAATAGTCTTGAATTGCACCAAGAGAACTAAAATTTCATGGGTGAAATGGCGCCATGGGGTGACTTCTCTTCCACCCCAATGCCTTCTCTTCTCCCTTCTCCACCCCCATTCTAATTCCCATCATCATCATCATCCAGGAGCCTTCTACATACACACCTCAAAGTAAGTGTACTTTTCTACCTTTTTTGTTGAATTTAGGCAATTTTTGGTGAGCTGGAACCAATTACCGAAAAATCCATTGAAACAATGGTTTCGGTTAACGAGTTTTTCGGTTAACGAGCAACCTTCTATAACGGATTGTGCTCGTTAACCGAGGGACCACTGTACTGCACCCACACTCCATCTTCTTCCTGTCCTTACACTGGACTCATGGAGGATGACCTTCACTTAACCTCCAGAGAGACCAGTTAATCATTACTGGTACAGCTATCCAGTATGAATATTATCAACAGTCAGTCATTATTACAGTGAACCCTCGAAGATTCGGACAAATTTTGGGGTTTTGGGGCTAAGAAGCCTCCTTAAGAAGCATCCTAAAAGATAGCAAAGGTCATCTCAGGCCCGTGCAACTAATATGTCAACGCGCGGGACACAGGTGCCCGAGGCGGGAAACGTAAACAGAGTTGTCAATTGTTGTTTGTGGGAATATTATTTAATTCACTCAAATAATGATACAATGTTTCTTATTATGTTATCGTAGGTAAATGCATGGTTTATATAATTTGTTTATCACTGTGGCACTCACCATTTTCAAATATGACTACAGTACAAGATCTGTATTTCTCCCATACGTATTTCGATCATACAGTACGCCTGGCAACGGGACGGAGTAAGGGGAGTGAGTGACTGCTAGGCGAGCATTGTCTGCTGTTGTAACTCCTCACTCCCTGCCATATTTCACTGGATTTACTGTTATTATTAGTGTTTACTGATATAACAGTGATTAATCATGGCATTGTAGCCAAGTTAGACTCATCACTGTAACTACCGGGCTACTGGGTCAAGCTGTGCGGTGATATGTTTTTTTTGTTTTTTTCAACTCACATTTTCGGGTAGACATACGTAACTTTCTTCATTTATTTTTACTCAGTTACATGCACTCACCATCCTACATACATAGTGTGAAAAATGGAAAAACAATAATTGTCCTAAGGTCAAACACATAAAGGGAATATCCATTTCTTTGCACATGAGTTAGCTGGCTCAGTGAGGAAGCAGAAGGAGACCGCAGAATGTAACGGGTGGGGAGTATTGCTAGGGAATCAGCGTCCCAGCTGGTCTCCATTGCTATGATGAAGCAGGGAGTGTATGCAAATGGCGACTGTGTTAAACTTTCATTTGGCCTTTATTTACTGATTTGACATTACAGTATTTTTTTTTGTAACTTATTTGTTGGTATTATTTTTATTTGTTTCTCACATTTATTGGTACCACTGTATATATTATTTTAAGAAATTTATGCCTACAGGAGAAAAATAAACAAAAATTTTTCCTAAGAACTCTCTGCTAAAATGACAGGTGCATCTTATATGCTGTAAAATACGGTTCTGTTTTTTAGTGTGTTTTTTATATGATTATTTACAATTTTTATACATTTAGTTCATTTGTCGGAAGATATGGACAATCGGCTTTTACGGACAGGAGGTCCCCCCTTTTAGTCTGGATCTTCGAGGGTTCACTGTATTATGTACAGTACTGTAGTTCCAGTGTTTATGTATAACCAAGTCCCCTTTTTTTTTACGTTTACAAAATTCACATTGATCGGGGAGGCAGGAAATGTGGAATTCACACTTTGAAGGATTACTTATATAACTACTGTACTTCCTTGAGGTAAGGAATTTCATGATGGCTATGGTCATTGTTACCATGTGACTCGTTCCATTATACCACTTCCAAAATGCTCTCTTTTTCATAGCCACTGGCCTGAGCCTCTCTTCTGTTCTGGCTGTAGTGAACCTCCATGAATTTTCATGTTTTCTTCCTGTCATTTTATTTGATAGATGATGAATGTTTACTTCGTATTTGTATTGTTGTTATAAATAGACTTGTTGGATTAATGTGTGTTTTACTGACACTGTCTAGGATGGAAGAAAGGTTGTTCCTCAGGATGGAGTATAGCAGATGATGGCCGTCTTGCTTCCAAAGTAACCAGCGACTTGGAGGTCCTCCACTCAGATGGCCCCTTGCTAAGAGCAGGATCCTCTGTTTTATTTAAGGTAATTAGTGAGGTTTTACTAGTTTATATTCAGAGCTTCACTTTTTTTCTTCTTGTCATGATGCGGTGGTTGGTCTCAAGCAATCAAGACCTCTCTTGTTATTATTTCTTTAGTTTATTCCTGTCATGTCACAGCCCTTCATCATCCTCATAACTCACTTGGCATCATGTTCAGTCATTCTTGCACACTGTTGTTTTCTGAACATCCATATCCCTTTTTCTCTTGTGCCTCCATCTTTCTCTTGGTACTCTGCTGTTTTTTACCATCAACCTCTTGAGTTATACATTTATATACATCAATCCCTCGTATCCAATAGTGTACAGTATTATTTATATGCCATATCACCTAAGCAAACCCTTATCAGCTTTTTGATCAACACTTTTTACCTTTGTGTTACCCTTTATCCTAGTTCCTTACCATTTACATCATAATCACCTCTTATATTGCTTACAAGCACACACAATTTCTGTTGTTACCAACACACATTTTCCTCTAGCTTGCAGGATCCTTACTTCTCACCCGTCAGCTCAACTATTATCGTGTACTGTACCTGTCTATCTTTGCCTAATTTTATACACTTCTCTCTTTGTGCACAACTAAATGCATCTATTAATTTTATTTCTTCAAGAATTATTTGACTCAACTTGTCAATCTTTTTCCCATTCACCAACAGATCCTCATCCAGATAACTAAAACTTCTCACATCCTCCATCCGACCTCAGCCCCCACTGTCTATCATCCATTATCCATTGTGTGTCAGTCAACTTGTGGTCCATTTGTAACTTTTACTAAACCTTCACTCCAGTTTACACCAAAGTTGGAATGGATCTTAGTTATGTGTCATATGGATGGCTTCCCTTAAAAAAAAAGGAAATTTTAATTTGTTTACAGGTATTTGATGTTGGTCCTTAAAAATTATTTTTAGCCATTTGTACTGTATGTGTAAAACTTTTTTTTTTTTTATGGTTAAACGATGTATTTTTTCTGGTAAGCTGTACTCCTTCCTGATGACATACTTCAAGGTGCTTTTTGTTTTTTGTCAGCTTTAAGGTGAAGCCTGTACTGTAGTGTACAGTATATCAATTTAAATAATTTTTTACACTAATATTTCATTTGGTAGCTCGAATGGTGTGTCCAACATTTAGCAGTGTACCCGGTAGTGTATTGACTATGGTGTGTGGCAGTGGGTAGATTAATTATTTGTGCATAACATATTATTCAGCAATGTTGTATTTATGAGAACAGATAGTGTGTGGAGGTGTAGGCTGCAGTGACGAGGGTGTTGGTCTATGCTGCCAGCCTGTGACTGGCCCAGAACAGCTCCTCTTGCCTGGTGCGCTCTTCCTTAGTGCTCAAGGTTGGTTCACAACTGTTACTGTATTGAATTTTTTTTATTGAAAAATATATTTGTAGAGTATAAATTTATAAGCTGAATTTACTCTTGTGTGAAAACTTTTTCGGTATAAAATTTTTAATAATACTGTTCTGTATTTAAGAATTTAAGAATTACATTTTATGAGGAAGTTTCTACAGTAATCCCGTGTTTTTCGTGGGAATTATGTTCCTGAAACCCCCGCGAGACGCCAAAACCGTGAACAGTGTCGGATTTAGACCTGTGGAGGCCCATGGGCAGCCTCTTTGTGGAGGCCCCCCTCATAACTACCCAAGAGGGTGGAGTGGCGAGTGAAGCGAGCCTAAACATCTGGGAGTTCCGGGGGGCGCTGTAAGCCCCCGAGAAAATTTTTAAATTTGAACACTTCTTTGGAGAATTTTGAAGCCATATGCAGTTATATTGAGGAAATTAGAACATTGAGAAATTTTTAATTAACTGTATATTTATTGATAGTGTACAAATTCCCAACACACACACACACACACACACACACAAAAGTGAGACATGACTGGAGTCATTCATGTGGTTTCAAGTCGACCAGCCCTGATATAGCTACTACCGCACATGTCAAAATTTTCAAGAGACTTCACAGAAATGAATATATTATTGTTTATTACAGAGAGATGATTCTTTGCATTATTAATCAGATAAACCTCTACTCAAATAATGGTTCTGTCCAAGAATGCATGTATAGGCTTCTTTAAGTCCAAGGTCAGATAGATTCAGAATAAGTATTAACTCAACTATAAATAAAATTGAAGTTTTGCATCCAATAGTAAAACAAATAAACAATTTAATGAATTTGATAAAATTATAACAAAAGTATGAACATGTTGGAAAAAACTAGAATTTTAATAAAAATAACTGCCATCTACCATGGATAATGGATATATTGAACACAAACATTGATCAATTGCAAAATAGAAAATAAACATTACCTTTATTTACAGACCAGGCACTTTACGTGACCTGGCCGCTGCAAAGTTTTTGATCAACTTTTCGAAGTTAACCTCTCTGAGGATGTCATATTCGATACTCATCAAAGCCAGGTGGCTGAGCCTATCATGACATATTGTAGTACAAAGTCTGTTTTTAATAAACTTCATTTGCAAGACATGTTCTAGGAAATGACAACTGACAAGATCATTCATCACTGAGCGGCAACGACGTCACTCAACAAGCACACATGACAATGCTCTCTCTCATTTTACATCTGCAAGACGTGTTTATGTCTACTCGTGGGAAGTTCACGAATCATGGGCGACGCAAGTCTCCTCTTTAATCGACAGACACATGACAACCGATGTGCAGATACTACACGACCCAACCCCCTCCGACCTACTGTCAACAAACACAGCGCCCTGATGGCATTTGTAATGGAAATGATAATGAAAAATATATTTTATTTGTTTTTTTTTATCTCAATTTCGTTATTCCATGTAGTTCATTTTTAATCAATATATGTTTGTGGAATTCTAAATATATTATTAGCAACACAAACAATAGCATTCATTAAAAATATACGGTTCATAGGAAAACCAGGTTTTCATAAATTTCAAGGAGTAGCTAGCCTAATTTCTGTCACGCTTCTTGCTGAACTTAGTTTTACGTGATGGAATAGATAAACATGAATTTTAAAGAATGAAAATAAAAATAATCCAAATGAATAAACAAATAAATAAAATGTTGTAATATGTGGAGGCCCCCAGATTGTGGAGGCCCCCTGGGCAGCTGCCCACTTTGCCCTCTCCTGAATCTGGCCCTGACCGCGAATACTCTTTTAGGAATCATTGTACCTGTGACCACCAAACAGCTCCGGTAGGTCATGCACTTAACCACACCACGCTCTCCACTCACGGCCCAGTGGTCACACTGATCATTGATGCACTGTACCGGCATTTACTAACATCATTATTTGAAACTACTGTAATCATATTGTAGTATAATAATGGAAAAACGTAGACACAGTTATATACCAAAAAATATTATTTACAAGTACAGTCGACCCTCGTTAATTTGAACCCCTTTAATCCGGATTTCGGATAATTCGGACAAAATCTGAACGAACTTTTTTTTTTTTTTTTTTTTTTTTTTTTTTTTTTAGGATTTGTAGGAATATTACCTATGCGGACCTTAAGCTAAAATGCTGGTCCATGACTGGGATACAGGAGCAACTTTACTTAAATGATATTTACCATTTACTGCCAGTAAACAATGGAAACATAAAATATGTACCAATTAGTAATGAAAAGTTGTGCAGTTCCTTCAGCAAATGAAGCTCACCAACTTACAATAGGCTAAATTACCTTACAACGTGTTTTCAGTAGTCTATGTTGAAGTTCTTAGCACAGGCTAACTTATCATATCATATACGGTATCACAGTTCTCATTGATCTACAAAAAATACCGGTAATAAAAACCTTTTCGATATTTCACACTTAATATAATACCCGGTAATCTACTTCAACCTCCTATTGTTTACAACGACGCATCACGCACCACCAGCTGTTGAGTATCAGCTAGACGGTACACGTGTTTTTCGAATCGTTTTCAGTTAAAAAACTGTTACATCACATGTATATTTTACCTAAACTGCGCCTGAATGAATATATTCTCGGAAATAAATAGTAGTTTTGCTGAAACGTGATGTATTTTAATGTAAAATAGGATAAAATACATGACGAAAACAAAAGACTTTACCTAACTTCCGATGTTCTTGAGATGTTACTCGTTTTTTTAATAGTTTTCGGTTAAAATACTGTTATATTACAATGGTATTCTATTCATACTGTGCTTGATATAATACATTCACGGAAATGTAATATTTTTGCTGAAATTACGTACGTATTACAGTGGAAAGTGGGATAAAATCGTGACGAAAACAATGACTTTGAAGTATAATGCAATATTAACCCCTAAATCGGTTAATTCGGACAATCGGCTAAAACGGACACCCTTCCCCCCTATTAGTCCGAATTAACGAGGGTCGACTGTAAATAAAAAATTTATATTTCGCTGAGGTCGGCAACACCCGCATTGCCAGCCTCTCCCTGCTGTCCCGGCGTCTGCCCGCCCTCACAGTCACGCCAGCCAGCCAGTCCTCTTCCACCCACATTCCTCCACTTGAAGACTTGTATTCTGACAAAAGACACAAATGAATTGTCAGTCTTCACCACATCTCGAGCCATAGCTCATACCACCTCTGAGCTTGTCCAATAAAACTGTTTTTTCCATTAAGGTCATCACTATTCTTGATCTCTTGGTCACTTTAGAGTCTTTGCTAGTAATATTTGCCTTTGATGAGGCTGGCTTACGTCCCGGAGCCATGTGGAATGCACGTGGGAGGACAAACAGAAGAGGTAATCATAGTTCACGGTAGGCAGTGTGGACTGAGGCTTCTCGGAGCAGCGGGTGTCTGAGGCGGGAAAGGGTGGCGTCTGTTTGCCGCACCGCACAGGGGAATATCGAAAATGGCGCAAATTAAAATATTTGTTTTTAAAGGATATTTTATATACAGTGACCCCTCGTTTAACGAACACCTCGGTTAACGCAATTTCGATTAACGAACTGCCTTCCATAAGGATCTTCAATTCGGTTAACGAAAAAAAATTCGCTTAACGAACTTCTTACGAACCGACCTCAACATGTTTTCGCTTGCACTGACCGGGACAACCAGCTTTAGTATCAGTCCGCCAATACATTAATCGGTTCTAGGGCTTAAATTCCTTACTATTTTTGTAAATATCAAGAAGTTTATACTATTCAATAATTTTAAAAGTTTAATATTCAATTTTTTGTCATTTTAACAATTATTGAACATAATTGAAGGTAAAGTGACTAGTTTAATGCACGGCATCCAGCCTCTTAACACAGCAAACAGGAGTTAGTCTTCTGTTTTCACTGAGGTAACATCTTGCTTGAGACTCTTCAACTAAATGCTTTTTTTCTGTGTTTACAAGCAAATTATTGGTCATTTTGAAGTTTATTTTACATATTGACAATATATAATGCAGTGCAGTGTTGATTTAAAGAAAATAATCTTGAATTACACCAAGAGAACTAAAATTTTATGAGTGAAATGGCACCATGGGGTGACTTCTCTTCCACCCCAATGCCTTCTCTACTCCCTTCTCCTCCACCCCCATTCTAATTCCCATCATCATCCAGGAGCCTTCTACACACACACCTCAAAGTAAGTGAACTTTTCTACCATTTTTTGTTGAATTTATAAAATTTTCGGTGAGCTGGAATAATCTAGTTCAGTTGATTCTAGGATCACTGTTATACTGTTATCTTTTGAATTTACAAAATAAATAAAACCAAAAAAACTGCGGGATTACTGTACAGTGGTCCCTCGGTTAACAAACGGTTCGATTAACGAAATTTCGGTTAACGAATTACCTCCTATAAGGATCTTCAATTCGGTTAACGAACAAAACTTTAATTAACGAAATCCTTACAACAAACACGTTTTGTTGTGAGCATCAGCTGATCAGCTGATGGGCTAGTCTGCCAATTCAGTAATCTGTTCTATGTTTACATTCGTTTCCAATGGAGTAAATATCAAGAAAGTTGTGCTCTTTAATATTTTTGCATTTTTTATATTAAAATTATTAGTCATTTTAACATTTATTTAATATTGATAATATATGCAGTACAGGGAACTAGTTTTTTGTGCGCCCATCAGCCGCTTGACTCAGCCACCAGGCGTCAGTTGGGCTCTGTTGACAGTGGAGTGAACATCTATTTTGTTGGTGTCTTGAATATTTTTGCATTTTTCATTAAAATTATTGGTCATTCTGAAATTTAGTTAACATATTGATAATATATAGCGCAGTGCAGTGTTGATTTAAATAAAATAATCTTGAATTACACCTAGTGAACTTAAAATTTTATTGGTGAAATGACGGCATCAAGCATGGGTCCCTGAAAGGTGATTTCTCCTCCATCCCCACTTCCTTCTCTTCTCCCTTCTCCTCCACCCCACTTCTAATTCCCATCATCATCATCATCATCATCAACCAGGAACCTTCTACATACACACCTCAAAGTAAGTGTACTTTACTGCATTTTTTTTTTACTTTGTATGTACTTTTCTGTGAGCTGGAACCAATTACCCAATATCCCATTGAAACAATGGATTCGGTTAACGAAATTTTCGGTTAACAAACGACTTGTGGAACGAATTGTGTTCGTTAACCGAGGGACCACTGTATTGTATATATAAAAATTTTTTTTTTTTTTTTTAAGTTAAGGATAAAAAGACAATGAATTCCTAAAGTGGGTGAGGGTGTAAAGTGTAGATTTTTTATCAAAATTGACAAAACTCCACTGGAAAAAGAGGATCCCTGCAAGTCCATAGGCTGTACTGTATACTAATCCTCCCTGTCAACTGAATGGTTGTACAGTAAACAAAATATGATAACTGTACATGTTAAGAAAAATCTTTTCGTCCTAATTACCATTGGAAATAATTTTAAATTTGTTAAAAAACTGGTTTCTAGTATGTGTTTAATATTGATAGATTTATTAAAATGGAAACTAACTTTCTAGGATGTGTGTTTTTGGATGGCGTGAGTCGTGTGACTCGATTACCAGCCATTCAAGACAAGTCACAAGTCAGCTTTGCTGTGGAGAAAGTATCTTCGACCAAATTCAGAGTATATATTGAGAGCCAGGAGAAGCAGGTAAGCTCGTAAATCATTTATCAGTTTTAGACAACATATTGTTTACTTTAAAACTTTATGAATAAAGGAAAATAAGCATAATACGTATTTAATATTCATTTACTGTTTCTGGTCTTGTCTTGCAGGTAACTTATGAATGGGGTATTCCAAGTGCACAGGATGGTTTGTATTTTGTTGCAACGTTTGGTGAAGCACGGTGGAAAATAAGTGTTCATTAGTAGGTAATATTGTTTAAAAAGTATCAGATCTCAATTAAACTTTTATCTATGTACTTTTCTAATATGTTTTATGCTGTGGCTCTTGCATGGCAAATATATATTTAACTAAAGATGAAATTGAACTAAAGTCTTGAATCTCATTATGTGCCTATAGTAAACTAGGAATATCAGAATATTAATAAAGTATTCTATATTAGTTTGAAAATGGAGAATATATTACTTAAAGATTCACAATTGATAAATACTATTTTCTAAAACTTTTTTTCATTACATATTAGATTTATTTCCTCAGTAAAATCGGAAACGAGATCCTTCACTCATGCTGTGTTGAAGCAAGTTATATCTGATTGTTGCTTTTAGATCTCAGATACAAGTCAGTCAAATTGTATGTTCTGCAGAACACTATATTCCATATTCCAGTGATAGTATCCAAACACATGGTAAAATTATTTGTTCGCCACCCTGGATTTTCAAGCTTTAACTGTCCTTGGGTTATTAATAAATGGATTAAAATAAAGGAATGAAATGCTTGAGCTTAAGATGTGTAAGAAAATTATAATAGTGAAGAATCATTTCACTATCTGCCGTATAAGTTTGTACATATATTAGCAGTTACTCTCACATTATGTCAAATAAAAAAGTTTTCTTTCAGTGTATACATTTAATGTCATTTACTGTATTTGGAAAAAAAAATACATTAATAGATATTCAGTGTCTAGTCCAATCCCAAACTTGGTGATACATGTGTAGAACTTTTTGAGTTGGTTTTGATGGAAACTTCTCAACAGTAAATTTCTACGATCTGTGGTTAGCTTATTAATATTTTAGCAGTACAGTTCTTCCACATGCCCATCCCACTTCTTGTGAGCCTTTCTCTTCTGTGTTCTTAAGTATTTTGCCAGTGTTGTCTCTTGATTCAGTCTAGTTGTGGTTATTACCTGGTCAACAACTTATTCTCTCTCCCTCATTTCTAAAATGTTCTCATACCATTTGATCATCAGCCTCCTGGATTCTTCATACCAGAGCTCTCACCTGCCTACTTTTCATGGGGTCAATTCTTCATTCTAGGAAGACATCATCAAAATTATGTTACTCACAGATTCTGGAAATTTTCACATTAAAATTTTGTATCATTTATTATCATCATCACCATCATCATCATCATCATCATCATCATCATCATCGTCATCATCATCATCACCACCACCATTATTATAAAATGTAACTTTTTCACATTCAGACCAAGATGGTGCATAATCCCCATCAAACATCTTAACACCTTCAGTTATAAAAAAAAAATAAGCAACACTTGAAACTTGTGTTGAAAATTCTTCTTACCGGCTTAGGAATTTCAAAAGCAAAGCAGTAATGTAAGCTGGTAAAAAGAAATGAGAATACTGCATACAGAAAGGATGAGGGTTGCCTCAGTGAGCCTATGCAAGTGATAAAGTAGAAGAAACCATAAAAAAAATTGGAAAGTTAAAAATAGTGACTGATATGGAATTATGTTAGGCTTTGGGTTGATAACATTGAATTTTAGAAAGTGCGGTACAGTATACAGTCGACCCTCGTTAATTCGGACTTATAGGGGGGGAAGGGTGTCCGTTTTAGCCGATTGTCCGAATTAACCGATTTAGGGGTTAATATTGTATTACTGTATATTTAAAAGAAAATGCAGCGAGTTTGTCCTTAGCCTTGCATATGCTTTTTAACACCATACTCGTCACAAACTCTAGCCACCGAAGCACCAGTCTCTAACTTCCTTATAAGTTCCAGTTTCTGGTTCACAGAAAGGGTCACATACTTCCTCTTTGGCGTATTACTCCCCCTTGAAGACATGATGTAAAATACAAGGCTGAAAGATGCCTAATCACTGAAATATCAACTTGCAGGGCAACACAACACTGATACTCGAATATGGCGCTAACTCAACAGTGACTGGCGCGCGCCATCTATCGGACAATCCCAGAACCAGAAATTTGTTACGGACAGTCCCTTGCTCAGTTCAGATTTCGTCCGAAATCCGGATTAAAGGGGTCCGAATTAACGAGGGTCGACTGTATAAGTGAACACGGTCACAGACAAGAACCATCCATGAGGAAAAATACTCTAGTTATTGTTCCCAAGGCAGTCAGTCATTCCATAAACAACTGAGGTTCACCAGAAGAAATAAGTCATACATCATAACTAAAGATACTGTACAAGTTTTAACACAGCACAGAAACAGTGCAAATACTGTATGCTTCCAAAACTGCAAAACAATACTATGATCAAAAAGCAGTTCAACATCTAGTCCAACAGCAGTTAATCTTTTTATGACCCTGACTCATTATTTTACCATAAACTTTCCAGTCAAATTTTATTATCATCTGTTTGTTATCCCGATGTCAGCACAGTAATTACACTAAAATAAATTTAAAAGAATATTCTGCACTTGATCCCAGTAGTATTCTTCTTCAGCACAGTCTTAACATTAGTTGTGCCATTTTTCAGATAATCCTCACTATTTTTTAAAGATTCTCAGATAAAAGTATTTTACATTACAGTACTATTGTGCTTTGATCTCCTGTATTATGCTCATTAGATTTAACATTTATCACAGCCAGTCCCTGGAGACAGGATATTGGAGACGTTAACAGCTGCATTATTTGCAGAAATCACTGTAATCCTCAGGTGGGATTTAAATCAAACCCCCCCATTCACAAGGTATTAGAACTCGGCACTTTTATCCCTTGGACAATCCAGATCCCCCAAATGATAGATCTTAAGAGATGAGCTTTAGCAGTAGAGTAATGCATTTGGGACCTGTGTCATAAGGTTGCCATCGCACAGCTTTACCTGATTTCAAAGTCTCGTATCTGGTTAGAGTTATGTCCGAAAAAAGGCTATGAATCCCATACCTCGTGTCCCCCAAGCTTTACCCTCTATATTATATATTGCTTTTGTATTATCAGTAACATGATACAGGTCTTGTAGCGAGTTCCCACTGTGCAGGAAATAATAACTTGTTATAGTTAAGAAATATTGCTATATCATCCAGAAATTAGGGAATTAGCTCACTGAATGTGGCTGCTATTACTGTATTAGTACAGTTCTGCTTTACTGGGTACAGTACAGTATAGGTAGTAAACCAAAGTTTTGGATATCATTCATAGCCCATAGTCCACTTGATATACGGTAATTATAACTCAAAAGCGAAAAATATTTAATTGAACCATTAAATTACAAACAGTACAGTACAGTACCTGTATAGTAATTCAGTCATGTTGATATGGGAAAGAGAAACAGAATTACAGTAAATGAAGATATATATATATATATATATATATATATATATATATATATATATATATATATATATATATATATATATATATATATATATATATATATATATATATATATATATATATATATATATATTACAGTACAGTACAGTATATATTTTTTTAAAGGGGCTTAAGTAATTATTTTCTCATTACGTATATTGATACAGTATGCTCTAAAGTTCAAAGATACAAAAAATGTATTTTTGAAAAGGGCTCAGATTATTCTTTCTCATTGGGTTGATTTGATGGAAATTTTCCAAAAAGCTTGCCAATGAAAGGTTTGCACATAGCTGGCTCATGGGAAAGGTCCGGTTAGCAGATGATAACATTCACTCCCTGGAGTGTTATTTTTGAAAAATTGCAAGGCATAGTCAACTGCAAATTTTCTATGTACCACAAGTAACTTCCCACATACAGTATATAATATTAAGGTGTGAAGTGGTTTCTTTTGTGAATTTTGACATCAGTGTTATTAGGATGGATGCTCAACTGTTTTCATATAAGATTCAATGTGTTTATAAGAATATTTTAAGTGTACTGTGCCTCATGGGTACCATATTTAGTTACTGGTATAATACAGCATTGTGTTTATTGCATGTAAGATACTTTTGTATGATATTCCTCTTGAATTTTATTTTTTATGAAGTTATACTCGGTATAAATGACATAAATCTTATGTTTATAAATACAGTACTTCAAACTGACCACTGTGACGTGTTCTTCCGTCCCCACTTTTACTCTCGTTAAACTCGTAACAGCCTGAAAGATATTACCCTGTATATCAAATAACTGCTGGTAAATGATAATATTTCACCTAAACAATTTCCATCTAGATTTGGTAGGCAAGGGCATGTTTTTCTTATACTAATATCTAAAATATATGCTACAACATTACCTGTCAGTTTTGAATAATAACATTTGTTGTGTAGACCATACTAAACTCTTCCTTTGGGCTCTTATACTAAATGATCAGTTTGAATTACCTTATCGTTTATTTTATTGAATTAAAAGCATACTAAAACCTAATAGTCCATAGATAAATTTTATTATAAGGCATGAGAAAGGAAAACAGTCCTCAAGTTTTCTCAGATGATATCAGAATGTTCTGTTACACATGTATGGCTAATCTTGTGCAGTACTGTACAGTATGCACAATGCAGTATTTTCCCTCTTGTTGTAAGGAAAGAAGAGATGATTGAAGTGCTTTTCACTCTCCCCCCTTCTTTTTTTTTATTTCTTTCTTTAGTCTAGTTATTGCTGGATTGGATTTTTGTGTCCTGTCGTACAACACGTGGAGGAGGTTATCTTAACAGCATCAGCTGCCAGTGTATATGTCCAGCTAAATATTTCTGTTCGGTAATAAATATCCTTCATTTACCTATTTAATCTTTAATCTACTTATCTAATCTTTGATTTACCTATCTAATCTTTGATTTACCTATCTAATCTTTGATTTACCTATCTAATCTTTGATTTACCTATCTAATCTTTGATCTACCTATCTAATCATTAACTTACCTCTAATCTTTAACCTACATACCTAATTTTTAACCTACCTCCCTCATTTGCTTAAGCAAATTACCTAAATTTTTATCAGTCTTTAATAAACTAGGTGTAACATTACATCACTCTTGTTGAAATACAATGGGACATGTTATAAGAAACTGTAGTACTGTACAGTACTGTACATAAATCTATTTGTGCTTAAGGGAAAGACAGGTACTTTGCTTGGACTATAAATAATAATTATCAACTACAGGAAAGTACTTGAAATGTTCACAAAATCCTTTCTGCCTGACAAAATTTATATACTGTATTGAAGGACACAAGGAAATACAGTTAATGATACCTTGTGCTATATAATTTGCTTCGGTATTTATGTAAAGGAAAATATTTACTAGCATGAATGTTACGGTATCTCCTAATACTGAACACACAAGGAGATCTGTCATCTGACTGCAAACAAATGGGTTTCCACAATTCCTAAAGTGTTACTGGGAACATGGTAAATAAACTTCATAAATAAGTCCTTCACACTGTTGATGAATGTTAATGAATTTGGACTTTGCTGTGGTGATCAGCCATTGCACTGATGTCTCTTAATTAGATTTGTCAGCAGTGAAAGTACTGTACCGTATGTAAAATACATATGAAGGACTTACAGGGATCACTCTTAAAAAAAATAAAAAATAAATTGTGGATTAAAAGCAGAGGCATTGCAATACTTTATTATTTTTTTTAATGTTTGGTGCCCACAAGTTAGGATTTCCAGTAGATACAAATACTTTATGGTCCTCCCATGTCTTGAGTAACAGGTGGTGACAGATCAATGTTTTCTTGATTCAAAGGTTCACCGTGTCAGTATTTCTAAGCATAAAGGCT